GGTAGTGTAGAGGCTTAAGCAGTTTCAAATCAGTGTAGTTAACATTAAGAATTCAGAGAGTTAATCCCAGTCTTTGCAAAGCTAGTAAGTATATTTTTAACTGTCAAAGCCTTCTTCCAAGTCACATTGAATAGTCTTCAGAAATTTCTTTTTGTCATTTAAATATAGCTCATTTCTTGATATAGTAGTACTTCCAGCTTATTAGAATATGCCTTGCCCAGCAGCTCAAAGATTTCAATATCAAGAGATTGCAAACAGTAGGTTAAATGCAGCAGAAGAATTATAAAAAGAATCTTTTCACAGTCAGCATATTCAATAAATTTCATATTTATATGGGAGAAATAGTCATCTAGTAGAAGCAGACATCTTTCTCAACCAGCTTGTTTCTTAGTATATCAATTGAAAATCTGTTTCAACTACTCCAGTTCATATTCATTATTGCTTTAATCATTTGTTGAAGCTGCAAAGTAGACCCATTTGCTTCCATCATAATTATCTAGCTATGTATTCTGAAGATCTCACAATTCACTCTGGTAAATAAGAGCTGGAGGTAGTGCAATTTCTTCAGCAGAGACTGAGCAGAGCAATAAGAGAAATTCCCAACTATTATTCTAGATGGCAGCATTTTTTCCAGCTTGTAGAGCTTTAATAGAGACTAATTACTTTAAGACATGACAGGAGCCTAGAAGAAATTCTTTTTTATTAAATTTGTAGATGTTTGAGAGCTCAAGATTATATTAATTAATTTTCTGCTCTAACTATTCTATAAGTAGTAGTCAAATAATTAGCCAGCATCAACAACTGCAATTGCAAGTAATTAAATAAATCATCAAATTATAAGTATATAAAAGTGCTTAAAGCACTGATAGTTATCTGCTACCTGCCTATTTTAATCATTTGCTTTGAGATAAATGCATTTGATCTTGTTATTATACTGCTTGTGAAATCAATTAACCCAGTTGATTCTAACATCCTCTCCTGTCATCTCTTGTACAATATTTTGTAGAATCTGAGGTGTAAGGTAGTTCACCACTAAATGAGCTACACCACTAAATAAGCTACACCACTAAATGAGCCAAATTTCATCAAATGCTCCATGCAATAAATTTATTAAATATCTCAACAACCAGATCTTTATTATTAAATAGCTATTAAATATTAAATAAATGTATTCTTTAAAGCATAGAAATTAGTATAGTTAGGAAAATAAACAGGTGGACAGTCTAATATTATAGTCAGAGTGAGAGATTCAGGGGGTAGATAGAAAAGAATTCAAAGAAATGTCAACAGTAGATTTCTTAGCTAGAGAGTCTAATATCTTGCTAGAGATGCTTATAAAGCTCTTACTTTCTCTTTTGGAAGATTGTATAGACTCTCTGCAATAAGACTCTTTAGTAGGGAAGTTCTTTTAATAATGCTTTAAAGCTAGTGCTTGAAGCTCTGACTGCTAGTATTTATTAGTATATTTAATTATTCATTTTTTCTTCTCTGCTAGTTGTAAAGTCTTCTTCTTCTCACAAGCAATATGTTGTGTCTTTCTTTATCTAGTATATTTGATTTTTTCAGTCTCTTGTTGCTTTCAAATCTTTTTATAAGTATTCTTCTGTTCAATCTGTCTTTTTTCAATATTTCTAGCAGTCTGCTTTTTTTAAAGCTCTTGTTAAAGTTTTGTCTCTTGTATTTGAGTAATTTTATCAGCTTTTTCAGTCTCTATTTTATCCAGACACTCACATGCCTTAAGAACTTTTATTGGAGACCAGAACTGCACTTGACTAGAATTATCTCTATTAAGTAGATCTAGAGACTTGCCTCACTTGCAGTATTGCTTCTCTATTACTAGAGTTAATCTTAGCTACTAATTCTTATGTTCCAGCAGTTCATTACAAAGAGTAAACTGCTTACTGGCTTGAATAATCTGTTCAATACTCTGCAAATTTAGGCTGTACTGAAGATATATACTCTTGATCTCTTGTTAAAGCTGGTGCATATTACTAGAAATAGAAGATTTAACTGGCAGTGTAGGGGCTTGAGCAGTTTCAAATTAGTGTAGTTAATATTGAGAATCCAGAGAGTTAATTCCAGTCTTTGCAAAGCTAGCAAGTATATTTTTGACTGTTAAAATCTTCTTCCAAACCACATTGAATAATCTCCAGAAATCCCTTTTTGTTATTCAAATATAGCTTATTTCTTGACATAGTAGTACTTCCAGCTTATTGAAATATGCCTTGCCCAGTGGCCCAAAGATTCTAATATCAAGAGATTGTAAACAGTAAGTTGAATGTAGTGGAAGAATTATAAGAAGAATCTTTTTACAGTCAGCATATTTGATAAATTTCATATTTATATAGAAGAAATGGCCATCTAGTAGAAGCAGACATCTTTCTCAACCAGCTTGTTCCTTAGTATACTAATTAAAAATCTGTTTCAACTACTTCAGTTCATATTTATTATTGCTCCAACCATTTGCTGAAGCTGTAAAGTAAATTCATTTGCTTCCATCATAATCATCTAGCAATATATCTTCAAGATCTTGTGATTTACTCTGATAAATAAGAGCTGGAGATAGTGTAATTTCTTCAGCAGAGACTGAGCAGAGCAATAAGAGAAATTCCTAACTATTATTCTGAGTGGTGGCATTCTTTCCAGCTTGTAGAGCTTTAATAAAAACTAATCACTTTAAGATATAGCAGAAGCCTAGAAGGAATTCTTTTTTATTAAAGTTGTAGATATTTGAGAGCTCAAGATTATATTAATTAATTTTCTGCTCTAACTATTTTATAAGTAGTAATTAAATAATTAGCCAGCATCAATAACTGCAATTGCAAGTAATTAAATAAATCATTAAATTACAAGCATATAGAAGTACTTAAAGCACTGATAGTTATCTACTATCTGTCTATTTTAATCAATTACTTTGAGATAAATGCATTTAATCTTGTTATTATGCTGCTTGTGAAATTGATTAATCCAGTTGATTTCAACATCCTCTCCTGTCATCTCTTGTACAATATTTTGTAGAATCTGAGATGTAATGGCAAGGCTGTGGCTAGAGAGCTTGTTTATATAATTCAGAAGCTCTGCCTCCTGTATATTAGAGAGCTTTTTCTTATATTGGAAGGCTGCTTCATTCTGAGCAAGTTGCAAGTCTTTATGCTGTCAGCACAGAGTCTCTCAGTTAACTGAGTACTTTCTTATGGTTGCAGTATAATTTGAGATCTCTTGCAATTCAAGATCTTCAATTGCAAGTCTAATTAAGGTGTTGTTGACCATGTTGTTGCATATTAAATGTTGAACATTGGAGGAATTTTGGTGGTGGAAGATTTGGCTTGTTTAGTAGTGTGGCTTGCTTAGTGGTGAACTACCTTAATGGCAAGGCCACAGTTAGAGAGCTTGTTTATATAATTCAGGAGCTCTGCCTCCTGTATATCAGAGAGCTTTTTCCTATATCAGGAGACTGCTTCATCCTGAGCAAGTTGCAAGCCTTTATGCCATCAGCACAGGGTCTCTTAGTTAACTGAGTACTTTCTTGTAGTTGCAGCATAATTTGGGGTCTCTTGTGATTCAAGATCTTCAATTGCAAGCCTAATTGAGGTGTTGTTGACCATGTTATTGCATATTAAATGTTGAATGTTGGAGGAATTTTGGTGGTGGAAGATTTGGCTTATTTAGTGATGTGGCTCACTTAGTGGTGAACTACCTTACTTGCTGGCTTTGTAAAGACTGAGATTAATTCTCTGGATTCTCAACATTAACTATACTGATTTGAAACTACTCAAGCTCTTACACTGTCAGTTAAATCTTCTATTTCTAGTAATATGTACCAGCTTCAATAAGAAATTAAGAGTATATGTCTCCAGCACAGTCTAAATTTGCAGAGCATTAAATAAATTATTCAAGTTAGTAAGTAGTTTGCTCTTCATAATGAACTGCTGGAATATAAGAATCAGCATCTAAGATTAACTCTAGTAATAAAAAAGCAACATCACAAGCAAGACAAGCTTCTAGATCTACTTAATAAAGATAATTCTAGTCAAGTACAGTTCTAATCTTCAATAAAAGTTCTTAAGATATGTGAGCATCTGAATAAAATAGAGACTGAAAAAGCTGATAAAATTACTCAAAATATAAAAGATAAAACTTCAACAAAAGCTTCAAAAGAAGCAGACTACTAGAAATATTAAAAAAAAACAGATTGAACAGAAGAATACTTATAAAAAGACTCAGAAGTAATAAGAGATTAAAAAAATCAAACATACTAGATAAAGAGAAACACAATATATTACTTATAAGAAGAAGAAGACTTTATAACTAGTAGAGAAGAAAAAACAGACAGTTAAATATACTAATAAATATCAGTAGTCAGAGCTTTAAGTACCAGCTTTAAAGTACTATCAGAAGAACTTCTTTACTAAAAAGTCTCATTACAGAGAGTCTATATAATCTTCTAAAAAAGAAAGTAAGAGCTCTACAAGCATCTCTAGCAAGATATTAGACTCTCTAGTCAAGAAATCTACTGTTGACATTCCTTTGAATTCTTTTCTATCTACTCTCTGAATCTCTTGCTCTGGCCATAATATTAGGCCATCCACCTGTTTATTTTCCTAACTATACTAATTTCTATGCTTTAAAGAATACATTTATTTAATATTTAATAGCTATTTAATAATAAAGATCTGGTTGTTGAGATATTTAATAAATTTGTTGTGTGGAGCTTTTGGCGAAATTTGGCTCATTTAGTGGTGTGGCTCGTTTAGTGGTGAACTACCTTAACTGACCAGTTGAGATTATTGGAGTACCGGTCGGCTATTCAGCGTCCAGAGACCCAGATGCTTCCGACTCTCGGCTAATCCCCCTACTGCATATTAACCAGGGACATGACACGGCAGGCTCTGCACCTATAGCTCTGCTCCGGCTCACTACACCGTCGGGGTAGTTAGTTAATTTCTGAATTGACCCCTTACCGCCCCATACCCAGGCCAGTTGTCCTCGAGTCGTGAACGATGCCCTTGCCCCAGGAGTTCGCCGTGTCGGACCATCCACCTGCAGACGCTGTGATCAGACACGTCCTTGCTCCAACCACCCGCAAAACGCAGCTTGTGGTTCTCATCTCTAGCTTTTTGACTGTGATCATGACCATTGGCCCGAATCTCTCTTATGGCGTGTTCCAGGAGTACTATGTGACCAATTCTGGGACGCTTCTGCCTCCATCAGAGGCCAAGAATCGAGGCGCCGTGGCTCTTGTCGGGACCGTTGGAGCAGGCCTGACGTGGGCAGGATCCATATTCGTGAATCCCCTGATGACCAGAGTTAGGGGGAACGCAAACCGAAACATTACCCTAGCTGGCTGCTTCTTGATGAGTCTGGCTTATGGCCTTGCCGGCTCGTGTGATCGTGTAAGTAGTCCGCCCAATCCCTTGGCTGAGATATCACTATATGACCCTTGGACACTTCATATGCTTGTCTCTTGACGCTTCCGGCAGCTTTGGCAGCTTGCTTTGACCCAGGGCCTCATGTACGGTCTTGGGAGTTCAATGCTCTACTTTCCCCTCCTCAGCATCGCTCCTGAATACTTTGATCAACACCGAGGGCTCGCCATGGGCTTCATCTTGAGCGGAGCGGGCGTCGGTGGGTTGATCCTATCACCAACCGTGCGCATTCTGCTCGATAATTTTGATGCCCGATGGAGTCTACGAATTTTAGCCCTGGCAAATCTCGCCATCACGTTCCCAATTGCTTTCTTTGCTCCACCTAGCCGCAGCACCATAAGAAGGCCGACTTTAGTCAATCCGGCCATCGTCAAGAAGCCCGCTTTTATTCTCCAGTCGTTTGCAGCCTTGCTTCAAGCTAGCGGCAACTTCGTGCCGATGACCTTTCTTCCGGAATTCTCCACGGTGCTCGGCTATTCGGTCTCATTTGGCGCGACACTGCTTGCTATAAACAATGGAGTCAACGCCGTCTCGAGAGTACTAATGGGTTTCGCTGCAGACAATCTCGGTCGCCAAAACACCCTCGTGCTCGGTGTGATCGGAAGTGCCGTGAGCGTTTTGGGTCTGTGGTTGGCGGCAGCCAACACAGGGGACAAAACATTCTGGGTTATGTTTGTGGTAATATACGGGATATTAGCAGGTAAGAGGAAAACCATCCAAGCATCGGCCACTTTATATCACATACTGAACCCAAGTCTCGCAGGGGGTAAGTGAATCAACAGATACAGCCCTTCTTTTTAGGTTCATACAGATATGATCAACGCCATTCGTAGGATACAATGCCCTATTTCCCACAACGGTGACTGACGTCTTCGGCGTACACGCGTATGCTTCCGTTAATGGCTTTCTCTACTTTATTCGAGGCCTCGGAGCCATGTTCGGTTCACCGGTTGGCGGCTTGATCCTGGGAAGCTCTCGAACCTTGCTCCCTAGCGAAGATACAGCACGTCTTCTTAAAGATTATCAGAGATTGATTTGGTACGATGGGGCACTGCTTGTGGGATCATCGCTATGCGTCATTGGCGTCCGGGGATTTGACGCGTTGGAGAAACGAAGATGGGCCTGGAAAGCTTGAAGCATTTAGCCTCTCCTACCATGCTCCTTTGTGAGATGGATTTCCTCGCGGTTTCGATCCAGGTATCTGCGGGTAGGATATTGAGATTACTCAATTTATTCATGAAGCACTGAAGGGTAATTCTGAGAGTTTTTACGGAGCAGTTAACGATCGAAGGAGTGGGATAATCTTGGTGACGAAAAAGCGGACGGATGGAGAACCGGATGGCTAAATCGCGGGTCATCAGATAACTACTCCGTAACTCGTGAACTAGTTAAATAGTTAAACCAGCAGTTCCATTTCGGCCTACGGAGTACTCTGTACTAGCTAGTTAATTGAACGATTGACTATGTAGTTATGTTTCACAGTTCCGAGCGACTGGAGGGTCTCCGTTCTCGAGAAATTTGAGATGTCAATTTTGCGTCCACTGCGAATCGCGTTCTGGTTGACAAGCTAGTTATTGAACTAACTACTTAACTAACTAGTTAACTCTGCTACTCCCGTAACGACACTAACCAAGTCATCATTGGCTGATGATGCCATGCGAGGATGCGATGGATGCCATGATCGCTTGTGGCAGTGTTGTTCTGCTCTCACGGCCTCAACTTTCATCGATGGCCTGGGGATTAGCACCACCATGGGGCAGACCTCAGCATCCGTGTGAATCCTGCGCGCGTTGTATTAGTTAACTAGTTAACTCCAGCTTCTTGTCAGGAATCAGAAACCGGCGCCACTGTCATTCCCACCATTGGGCCTCATCACAACATTTCCCCCCGCCTTCTCCAGCACTGGCGCTCTGGCATCACTGAGTGGCCGCAACGATATCCGATGGCGGCGGGGTTTGGCTTCTCTGTGGGCGACATGATCGCGGGTCTCAAAATCATCTATGTTTCCTGCGAGGCCCTCAAGTGTGCATCAGCCTCCCGAATGGAGTATCTTGCCCTTCGAACCGAGATCCAATCTCTCCTAACCGCCCTCGAGGCCATTGACGATCTTGACCTGGAGTATCGTGGCACCGAAAAGCAGTGGACTGCCGTCAACTCTTCGATCTCATCGTGCAAAGCATGCATAGACGACTTTCTGGCAAAAACCTCAAAGTACGAGCCCTATCTGCAGGACGGCGCAAAACGCGGATGGGCGGCTGGATACAGGAGGATCAAGTGGGCAATCTGCAAGAGGGAGGACGTTGCGCAGTTTCGGATGCAGTTGGAGAGACACGCTTCCTCAATCAACATGCTGCTTATTACGTTCCAGGCACATGCCGCCGACAAGCCTCGGGATGCCCGGACTGCTGGTGGGATGGCGATCGTGGCCCGCCCTGGCACAACAGACGATGAGAATATTACAGCACTCCTCAAAGGACTCACATTGGAGCAACGGCAATTCTTCCAACTGCTACTCACGCAAAACCGACAGCTACAGCAGAGTCTAGACGACATTCGCCACCTCGTGCGCCTCCAGACGGAAATTCCTCCGCAGGTGACGCTTCAAAAACCGGTCATACTGCTTGATGCGTTTGGAAAAACTGCACCTTTCCACCTCGACTTCATCGACTCTCTGGATGCCTTTGTGGCCGTACTGAAAATCAGATCCGAACAAGCCGGTGTCCGAATGGGTGGGCTAAAGAAACTAGACAGGCGAGAATTCTGTATAAGAGACACCCAGAGACGGAGAAGCCTCGACTTGAATCGCCCATGGACGAAGATTTTTCGTCCTGGACAGAACGTCGATATGAGCATGGTATTTCGGCGGCGTCTAACTCCAACGATTTGTCCCGAATGCGGCTGCCAGAATGACCCTTGCGTGGAGGACGGCGAGATCGAATGGTAAAGTTTTGCTGAACACACCCTTGGGTTCTTTTTGATCGTTCGATGCAAATTTGCTGGAATGACCGGTGAAATAACTAACTCGGGCTCCAGTGGGTTTTGCGGGTTGTGGTATCATCATGTCCGAGAGGAACCGCATGCCCAGCCCCTTCTTCCACCAGAGCCCGATTCGGTGCCATTATCGCGGACGGTGACGGCGAGATCGTCAGAGGTTGATTCTTCAGAATTGGATGTGCAAGAACCAAAGTTTGCTGGATTTCGCCGTGTTCGCATAATCTCATTGCTATTGAACCCTTCAACTGCGAATAAACGCTCGCAGGACGTTAAACCAGGTACGTATTCGCTATTCGTTTAGCTCGTCATTCGAGCATCGATCGTGTAACATCATCTAGACGCCCTCCGCGACCTTTCCATTGCACAGCGCTCCCCGCTGAATATGGAGGATGAACCACGACAAAGCTATACCCGTTCCCCTCCACAAAAGAAGCGAAATATCCGAATGCAGCCGCCATTTCCCAAAACACCAAAGCAGAAAGCTCACCGATCGAGTCTAAAGGGAGAGAGGCTGCAACTTCGCCACTTCGCGGAAGACCCCTATGCTTCAGGTGAGGATAGTAGCTCGAGAAATAATCCGTTAGAAAAAAAGTTTCGATCTCACTGCTGGGCGAAGCCGGTTTTCTCACATGTCAGCGAGGAAGAAGGCACTCTTCGCCCTCGATCGCTGTCAGCACATGGCCACCAAAATCAAGAGCAAACATTGGATGCCGAAGACCATGATGGTCGTCGCGGTTTAGATTGCGATATTCCTGGATTCCGGATGGTGTCTCCTGTGTCGCAGCACTTACGACTTCATGATGCCAAATATGAACCAGCCATCACAAGGAGGCGAGAGGAAGTTCAGTGGACTCTGATAGACTCATGGATACGATGACTTTTACAGGAAAGTCTTTGTGTAGATATAGCTTTTGATACCCCTTTTCCATTCAAAAAGCAAGGAGAGTTACGTTGCGCTCCCCGTTTTTGTTTACTTTATCGGAAATTTGCCCCGACCTGTTGTCCCACTCTTTCTTCAGATGCACGTATGATATGGGCCCAGCAATAGCATTGTGTATCTTACCCTTGGGACTATTCCTTGCCCTGCACCGTTAATTGCTGTTCAGTTGGTGGGGGGCGGATGAGAAGCATGGGACAGTACGCACAATAACTAATGATCATCCCCACATTGAGAAGGACACATGCCTGTAACTAGTTGGACAGATAGCGTGGCCTTCAGTCTCTGACTGCATAAGGCCTACGAAAAATATGATATACACGCACACACACACACACAAAATACCTAATGATCATCCTGCTGGATCATAGATAATCTGCCATCGAAAAGAGCGCATGCTATCGCTAAACAGGGGTATCAGGGGCTAACTGGAGGACTAGGCGACATATATATCCATACACCGAGCTGGCCTCAACGTGTGATGAAGCAAAAAAAAAAAAAAAAAAAAAAAAAAAAAAAAAAAAAAGAGAAAAAAAAAAGAAAAAAAAAAAGAAAGAAAATTGACTCACGATCTGATCGGAGGTTAACCAACTAGCTAGCCGGTTGAGCGTGGATCTGGGGAGCTTTGAACTTGAATTACCCAATTACAGTTGTTCTTCTGTGAACCCGCAACTCTGCGGCTTTAAAACTGTGGATTCAGAGGCGCCATTTATGCCGGAAGCGGCATGGAGTTCTCGGGCGAAGGGCGCGCCTTTTCTGACTCTGACAAGGCCCACACCCGTCCTTGCGGTCATTGATAAAAGAGCGCATTGTTGAATAATGCCCTTTGATAAATCTAAAAAAAAAAAATAAAAATAAAAATAAAAAAAGGGAACGAGTCAAGATGAGTTGAATGGAAAAATTGACTGCAAGTCGAAAAGTGCACCCAAGCGGGAGAGATGGGAAGAAATGCATTAATATGGATTGTGTCTATAATAACTGAATATGGAGAGCATCTTGAATGGCGAGTGAAAACTCCCTCCATCTAGCCGTTTTCCCACATTCTAACACCACGGATAGACAAGGTAGCCTATCTTTCAAGGAGTTCGTCTCCGGGTCTCAGAACCAGGGATAGACCGGCAATTAGAAGAGGAAGTACATGATACGCTTGATGAGGGCGGCGTTTCTCCGCTTCTCCATCATAGCGTTATGCGCTTCCCAATCGATCTCACGACGGCCGGAATCGACATCGATCTGGCTAAGTTTGAGCCATCCTTTTCCTTTCCAGAAATAGCCACAAGCCCAGAAGAACAGCACCACAGGCATAGCAAGATAGGACTTGAAGAAGCCCTCAGCATTGTTTACGCCACCACCCAGCGGCCATACGGCGGTATAAAACTGAGATCTGAGTTAGCAATGCCGAAACAGAGAGAAGAGACACTCGACTCACCTGCGCAATGAGGACGATAATGACGAGGGTAAGACCGATCCAAGAACCCACAACCCCAAGGGCGGCTTTGAAAGGAAGCTCATCAAGAGTGTGTCCATGGTACTTCCACGCGCTTCTGAAACGGATATGGGCCAAGCAAATCTGTTCAAATCGCTGTCAGCGCCGCGATGTTCTTCGCAAGTCTGAATGACAAAAGAGAAGGGGGAACTTACACTGCCCCAGGTGAATAGCGCGGCAAGACCGGACAGCGCCTGAAGCCAATCGAAGATTTCCGCACCACTGGCGCTGAGATTGACATAGGCGAGTAAAGAGAAAGCGATAAGGAAGATAGTAGAGTAGAGTGGACGTCCGGCGCGGTCAACATATGCAAACATCTTTGGCGCGTATCCTTGCTCGGCCAGAGCAGTCAGGGTGCGAGATCCACCATAGACGCCAGAATTTCCGATAGAGAGGACAGAGATGAGAATAATGACGTTCATGAAGCTGTCGAAGCCATCAAGCCCGGCATCTTTGGCCGCAATAACAAAAGGCGAAGCCGTGACATCAATCAATCCCGAGCCCAGAAGACGCTCATCGTTGGAATCGACAAGGAGGCCGACGAAGAACAGACCAAGGATATAGAAAAGGGTGATACGCCAGAAGACCTGCTTGATAGCAGAGGGGAGAGACTGGACGGGGGTCTTGGATTCTGCGGCAGCCAAACCGACAAGCTCGGTCCCAGAGAAGGCAAAGGCGGCGGTGACGAAGACGGAGCACACTCCTGCAAGAAAAAAGTTGTCAGCATCTCAACAGAAGAAGGGGGGGAGGCGGCGTGCCGGTGACAGGACAGCCACATACCCTTGAACCCATTCCTAAACGCTCCTGGGTCGTACCACAAACGTGCACCCCAGTACTCGCCATACTTGCCGTGGCTTGGGCCACCGCCCAAAACGCAGACAAGGGCGATCAACATGAAGATCACGACGGCGGCAAGCTTCAGGCAACTTGACCAAAACTCCTCTTCACCATAGCCAAGGACACCGAAAATGTTGATCAAAATGATAGCGATGATGAATACCGTGATCCAGACACCAACACTGACATCTACCTGCCAATAGCCAATCGTCAAGCCGGCGACCGTCAGTTCAAGCGGTAAAACAATGGCCCACTGGAACACATAGTTCCACCCCATGGCGAAACCCCAGGACGGGTCAATAAACCGTGTCGAATACGTATAGAAACCACCGGAGACAGGATACATAATCGCAAGTTCACCAAGTGCGAAGACCACGTTGAACATCATCTGGAGATTCGCAAAACGCGGGTCAGCAGGCATCGTTTTGGTTCTGCGACGCGCCGAAGTACTTACCACGCCGATAATCATAAAGTCAATGATCAGAGTTGCAGGGCCGCCATCGTGAAGGGCACTTCCAGAGCCGACAAACAAACCAGCACCGATACTTCCTCCAATGGCAATCATATGCAGATGTCGGCCCTTGAGGGTTCTGTTCAGCTGGTTGTGCTTGTCCGCAAGCGTTCTTTGCTTGAACGACTCGGGTGTGCAGCCCATGCGGGTCCAGAAACCCAGCTGTTCCTGGTTTTCTATGGCATCGCGGGCATCCTCGCTCGACTCATAGGCGGGAAGGTTACTCTGATCGTTGCCAGCGACAACGATACCCTTCTCGCTCTTGTCCATGGTGACCGTCGAGGGTGCAACGATGGCACCGCAGCAAGGGTGTGAGAGGTGGCCTGATTCCAAAAAAGAAAAAAAAAAAGAAGAGTAAAAAGAAAAGCGGAGGTTGTTATATACAAATGGCGGGGAGGGGAAGGGGAGAGGGAGGACAGGAGAAGAGGAACGAGCAAGCAAGAGAGAAGGGGAAAAAAAAAAAGAAAAAGGCCGGGAGCGGGAACGGAGTGCGTGTCAGGTTGATATAATAATATTTTGGAACAATCGACAAGAAACCCGAGCGATTCTCCCAATCTCGAGTCCAAAGCGGGTGCCCCTGGGATTAGACTGGGATAGGAGAGTACAGGAAGAGGATCCCAGCCCGACAAAAACTGGGGTCTGATGCACCTTGATATGGAAAGCCGCAAGCAAATGCCAAGTACGGCGTGGGTGAGTTTTTGAGTGACTTTTTTGACGTTGAAGCCGGAACTTGAAAAAGCGCTTAAATCAGTGCCAATGTCCAGCGGTGCAACCCAAGATCACGTCGGCGAATAGAGTACATAGTCCAGAGTACTTTGGTCTCTCGGAAAAGCCCAAGGATACGCGAGAAGCTGGCAGCTCGGCCACGCGATTGGAAGAGGTGTTCCTAGGCTAACCCGACAGTCAGGAGTTGGCGTGATAATGTAGCTTGACGAGGCGACAACCTGGCCCTGGTCGCCACATATCTCGCAGCTACCTCGCGACGGCCCATGAAGAGGAAATACTGTCACAATCTAGAGACCTTGGGGGGGGTAAAAGGAATACATGGGTGGAACCACCCCCCCGCTGCTTGCTTGCGGAGAAAGCCAACAACTGGTCGCAAACCCAACCATGTTATCGGCCCACGATCAGGGTTGGCAACTCAAAAAAGAAAATAAGTATCAAATGACGGGTCGAGGAAATTGACCGGGACTGACGAGAGTCGCTGGTGCCATGCAGATCCCTTCTGGAAGACTCTTGGCTTCCCTGATCACGGATCCCCGCCCTCTTGGGCCTGCGTGCTGGATCGCGGAGAAATAAGGATGTCCAAGACGAAATGCGGTGTCACATACGGAGTACAAAGAAGAAGTTGACGCAGACCGAAGAAAAAAAATGTCCCGAGGCGGAGCTTGGTCCTCTCCTTTTCTTTTTGCTTTTCTCGTTTTTTAATTTTTTAATTTTTTTTTTTTTTCTAGGTTCAACCCAACAGTGAGAAGCCAGATACACATTCAGGTGCTTTTGTGAGGTTTTTTTTTTTTTTTTTTTTTGTGTGTACGGAGTACTCCGTATACTTTGTTCTTATTTTTTATTTTTCATTTTCTTATTTCGTTTTTTGCCTTTTCACTTTCCGTGGGTGGGATGGAATGGCTTAAGATTAGCATTTTGCAGGGTGTGAGTTTTGGGTATGATTCTCCTGATTCGAGGTGGGCTGGTCAATCAACGCCTTCTTGCTGGCCCTCTCCCAACACGCTCTGCGCAAACCCCGGACCCCCCCCCCCCCGGGCGCAGGGAAAAGAACATCTGATTTGAAAAATAAAATAATAAAAAAAGAAAAGAGAGAATGAGACGTCTCGAGCGTAAAAGACGAGAAGCGCCCCTGATAGGCTCAGCCCCAACAAGCCGCCCGCCGCAGAGCGGAAGGCGGGGAACGAAAACAGCACGCTGATTGGCCAATATGCGAGGATAAGCCCCAACTCTATCTTCATTAGCGTTTTTCCAGAATCCTTCGGGGAATGTTCCACGCTAGTCCCGAAACGTCGTCGCCACCGCACTGGTGTGGCTTGGCGCGTCTGTCACTTTTCTTTTCTTTTTTTTTTTTTTTTTTTCCTTTTTGTTTTCGCTCTCGACCGAACGGCGCGAGGAGCGGGTTAGGGCGAAAATAAAATTTTAAAATAGAAAAAATAAAATAAAATAACATAAAATAAAAAGAGGAGGGGCAAGCAAGCAACGCAGAGAGTACGAAGTACAAGATGTTGGTTCACCAATCATTGGAAGGTTAAGGGGTAATTGGGAGGGCGGGAAGAGGAAGAGAGAGGGGGCCGTTTCGTTCGTCGAGATAAAAACAGAAATGCGAATGCCAGGAAAAGCTTTCTGGGGGATCACCAATGATCCTCGGCCGCTGAAGACCTGACAGCGCGGTGGCACGACTTGTCCTGCATCCGTTCTTCAGCCCTAGCGTGGCGTGAGCATTTTCACAGCAATCGGACATTTCCTACGGATGCGTAGCTCCCAATAGTGAACTAATCAGGATGGCGTTTCAGAGACCAAAGGCTAGCATTAACAGATAGAGAGACAGACAGACAGACAGACGGACTAGTTGGCGCCCTCTGGCCCCCCTTCCCCCGAAGTACTCCGTAGTGTGTGATAATGGACAGGAACTACTCCGTGCAGACATCGACCTTCCTTCTACTAGCACCCGTATTCGGACCTGTCCAAATTCCCGAGATTAAACTAATGGCTATTACTTGAGAGAAAATCACCGCGGTTTCATCGAGAGCGTGGAGTGAGGTCGAGCACCACCCGAGAGAAGAGTGTGTGAAATACAGACTTGGGCGTTGGTGGGATTGACAAGCTCAATCGCCGTAATTTGCTCCAGGGTCGTTTCGTCGCAAGGATCTATCCTTCTACATTCAGGTCCGTATGGATGTATGGATGTGCTTTTGCTCTGCGGCGGATTCTGCCCTTGATATTCCCCGACCAAATGCTTGGTCAGGTGCCGCTGCGATACGGTTCGGGTATTTTCGTCTTGCAGCTTGAATGAAGCAGTTATAGAGTTGGGGCGTCTGCATGCTCCGATGTATCTTTGGTCTGGAACATAAAACAGGCAGCTCCATAGACACACACACACACACACCCCCGGGGGGCGGCGCTGATAACATCGGTCTATTTGACGAGAAACCCCAGTCCGCTGGGACTGCCTGGGAGATGAATTACATATGCTTTTTGCGCATAATTTCGCCAGCCTGGATTGGCGCAAGTATCAGCGCCCGCTTTCATGAGCGGCCGGGTCTTGGGTTACATGGGGAAGATCCCTCTGTTCGTTAGTTTCAAACTCTGCGCTACGAGGCCTTGGCGGCTTCGCATGGAGAGCGACCGTCTGCGGGGGTGAAGTGAAAACAGGGCCAAATGTCAACATCACCACTAACCCAATAACAATTCAAGAGCAAAAATCCAAGCTGATAACAGACGAACTAAGTCACTGCATTCTGTAGCAGAGGTTCTCGTGGATAATTGGCCAACCATCGCCCAGGCACATCTAGAGAGGGGGGGAGAGAGAGAGAGAGAGTGTGTGTGTGTGTGTGTGAGAGAGAGAGAGAGAGAGACATCACTAACCTCTGCGAGAAAACAACAGCTGTGTGTCCAGGACCCCGTGGCCTCTCTTACTCGTGAACGGAATTAGAATGGGGTTGGTGCAGGCGGGGAGTGAATGGATCGAGCCACTCCTCCTCCGTAACCCGCCTCCAACCGTGGAGCGGCGAAGAAGGCGAGGAAGTCGAGCATCCCGTTCCCTCGCTGAGCCATTTGAACTTCGAAGCTCCACGCTTGGCAGTCTGGGCAACGTCCGTCTCGCGGAGCCGGGATTGGACTTGGAGGGTACGGCGGGATGCGCATCTGCCCACCTGCACTCCACCTGGCGAATGCCAGCAGCAAGGTTGCCGTCGGCGTGCCAAAAAAACAAAAAAACAAAAAAAAAAAAAAAAAATGGCACAATAATTGCGCGCTCGCTTTCTCTGAAGCTCCTCCCCACAACCCACCTCACCTGCGCCGGCGGGACCACTCGAAAGCGAGAAAGAAGCGAAAACAAGATAACCCCAGAATCCGGACGGAGTCCCATTCTCCGCAGCCGTTGGTGGCCAGATGGAGCTCCCTTTCCCCAGGACCCGATCCGCTCCACACAACGGCGAACCGAGGAGCTTCACCTGGGTGGAATGTCGTGATCGTCACGAGAGTCGAGACTTGGCCGTGCGCCCACTTACCTATGACTATCGCGGGAAAAAAGCTCCAATAGGTATTGTTGGCTCGCTGGTTATCCTAGGCTGGCTGTGTATCTACATTGTGCACTGACAGTTAAATCCATATCTACAATTTTTTTCTTTTTTTTTTTTTTTTTTTTAATTTTATTTTATTTTATTTTATTTTATTTTATTTTATTTTTTTTTTGGCATGCATATCCAATTTCACACGCCGCTCACTGCGAGCGAGGACCATGCCAATTCGGCTAACAAACGACTGGCCTGGCAGCCGTCCTCCAACGGGGCCATGGGCTTGGGGGGGTGTGGACGCCAAAGCGGCCAATAATGATTCACATAATCGCATCGGATTTCTGTTGGAGCATGTGATTGTCCTGCCGGCGATCCCTTGTAACTAACCTGGAACCGAAGAATAGGGAGAAAGATGTGCCGTTTTCTGGTTTCGATTACTCACTCTCATTTCCAGCGCTACAAGGGTGGTGGCAGCGGCAGCTTGAAGAAAAAGGCATGACTACTCGAATGATTCCTCCTCCTGCTGAAGGTTACCAGCCCTCTGCTTTGTTTCTCGGGGTTTTATTAACACGGTGCTGGCCGGCTCCGCTCCAGTAATGTTAGCGACAGTATGGACTCTGTACGGAGTACAGAGTGTTGTTCAGTATTACTTGCGTATTATTTGATCCCTGCAGGCGATCGGTGCTTGAAGGCGTTTGATCAGCAGATGAAAGGCCACATGAATGATTCATCATCCATCTGTTGCCCGTTGCGGATCTCCAGCAGCTCGACTCCGTTAAAGAAGGAAAAGGAAAAAAAAAAAAAAAAGCCCGGAGAATAATCGCAAGCAGTGTTCAGGTTTGCCAAAGAGGCGATTTGGGCTTCACCCTGCCTATAGATCCTGCAATATGAAACAACCGACAGGATCACGCTGGATTCGCCATGGACCATCCACACCGTTTAGGCATCACACAGGAATCTTCGTCTTCGTTAGGGGAGGTAAATGAGAGCCACCTGCTCCTCCTCCTCTTCTCTGCTCATCACCTCCTGCTGACCGCACTGTTGCACCGGCTATGGCCTCAGTGGAAGATTCGAGAAGAGGCCCAGCAAATCCAACTGAAGAAATCCCTTTTCGATGGCACAAATGGGGTTGTTTAACTAACAATGGCCACATGGCGTACAGCAACGGCAAAGCCAACTGCTTCCCCGTGCATCGCAGGTTGTAGCACAACTTTTGTAAACGCAGCCAGGATGATGCCCCAGCGAACGGCCTGTACGGAAGACGGTTGTCAATGTCTGCCCTGTGTGAGCATGCGTGCCCAATCGTCCGGTTGTCTGCCGTATTGACATCGCGATGCCCGATGCGACCGGAAAAAGGAAGAAGTAGATGAAAATGGGCGATAGATGGGTGGAATAGTAGTTAATACGACCCGCGATGATTCATGAGGTCGAGAGGTTGGCCAGACCTGATATACTCCGTACGGGCTGTCTGTAAAAACCGGATTATTGCCCCCGATGCGCCCAGCAGGGCGACACATCCCTGCTGGAAGTGCAGCGCAAGCAAGAGGCCGTTTGTTGTCGCTATCCGGTCGTACAGTACAAGTTGTCCTTGAGCTTGGTTGGAGGAGCGCTAGCGAAGTCTCCATGTAACGTCGCTGTCGCTGTCGCTGTCGCCGCCCGTCAGTTACTCTCCCAACCGCCAATCTCTTCCCCGCCCGCCCGCCGCCGTCTGAGACCGCACACCATCCCTGACCATTCATCCCCCCTTACCCACACCGTCTTCCACAATCCCAGTCTTCCTGCACGCGTGGAACCCCCAGCCTGCCCGCGACAGCGAGCTAGAGTCACTTGCTCCTAGTCATCAAGCAGCGCAAGCGGCGACTCAAATCGTCAGCAAGCCATGGCCTCGTCGGCGTCTTTCCCACCTCCGCCAGTTTCTAGCATTGGTAAAACAAGTTCCCCTTTCCGCCGAGCCTTTCTAGCTCTGTTGCCCTTGAGCCGCCCTGTTCTCTTCGTCTGCGTTGCTGCTGCTGCACTGCACTCCTTTTGCCACTGACTTGTCCTGCAATGCTGACTTGAACCCCCCTGGGGCCCCTCTCGCAGATTGGAACAACATTGGCTTCAAGGTCTGGGAAGGTAAATTCAGTTGCCCTAACCTCTTTTCTTCTCCTCCCTCCCTTACTACTTATTTTCCTCTTTTTTTTTTTTTTTTTTCCCTTTTTGAATGCAGAGCCCGGCTGACGGCTTCAATCTAGTCAATGGTCACGTCGAATCTCGCTTCTCCCACTCCTCCAGCCCACAATGGTCTCCTCCGCAGTTCGTCGCATCTCCCTACCTTCCCATTCATGGAATGGCCCCCGGCCTCAACTATGGCCAGCAGGCGTATGAAGGGATGAAGGCTTTCCGCCATGCGCCTACCGAATCGCATCCAAATGGCCGCATCACCATCTTCCGCCCGCACAGGAACGCTGAGCGCATGCAGCACTCTGCCCGGTTCATATCCATCCCTCCGGTGCCGGAATCCCACTTCCTGGAATGCGTGAAGCTGGCGGTCTCTGCGAATGCCGGCTTCGTTCCCCCACATTCTACCGGCGCCGCAATGTACATCCGACCCCTCATCTTCGGGTCCTCCGCGCAGCTTGGCCTCTCCCCGCCCGACGAATACACATTTGTCGTCTTCGTCATGCCCACGGGCGTCTACCACGGCGTGCACGCGGTCAACGCCCTCATCCTCGAAGACTTTGACCGCTCGGCCCCCGACGGCACTGGCTCAGCCAAAGTGGGTGGGAACTACGCTCCCGTCCTGCGCCATAGCGAGAAAGCACGCGCCGATGGCTACGGCATCACCCTGCACCTAGACAGCAAGACTCGCTCCGAGATCGACGAGTTCTCCACCTCTGCCTTCATCGGCGTTCTCAAGGACGCGTCTGGACACGTCACCCTCGTCATCCCCGACAGCAAGAACGCCATTGACTCTGTCACTGCTTCTTCCATCATGGCCATTGGAAGCAACATGTTCGGCTACAAGGTGGAAAAGCGCCGCGTCCCCTACGATGAGCTAAAGGAGTTTTCCGAGGTCATGGCCGCGGGAACAGCCGCAGCGTTGGTTCCCATCAAGAGCATCACCATGAAGTCTCGAAACGACGTCTTCAACTACGAAGCCGGCGAAGGTGACTCGGGCGGCGAGGTCTACAAGAAACTCATCCATGCCTTGAAGGGTATCCAGCGAGGAGAGATTCACGACAAGATGGGTTGGCTGGTTGATATTGAGCCAGTGCCTGCCGGCTGGGTGGAAGCCTCCAGGGGTAAAGAAGCTGACGTGAGCATCGCCAACCTACCGTAATTCTTGATTGCACCGCATACTCTTCTTCTCCAACTCCTGAGTGAAGGAAGTTTATTGCTTCGAGGATTATCTGGTGCTGTTCTCTAAGAGCATTCCGTATTCATCGATGCAACAAAAGGGATTATTCAACATTAGCGGAACGGCGTGAAAATTAAATGGGCAAAAAGGGTCTTTATCTCCTGTGATATATATGCTCGGGCCGGTTAAAAGATCTCATCCTTCGGAATTTCGTTAATTAGATTTCTTTCGGGCCAATAGTTATAAATCCTGCAAGACAATGGGATCTCTAGTGCAATTCCTCCCCACGGGGCATAAGCAGTTGATTTGTGTCACATCGGCAACTTTGCCTGGAGAACGAAACAGCTTCCGATTACGAAGTGTGCATTGGCTTCCTATTATTACAGCCTGCTAATAATTCCTATGGTACAGAAAAAAGGCGGGAACGCAGCCGCCAGCCCGTCCGAAACGATTGACAGCGACCGAGGCATTCATCCGCCACAAAAGTAAAACAATCTGGTTTTTAGCTTTCCTTGGGTTTTTGGGTCGGCTTTTTTTTTCTTTTTATTCTTTTCGTGCCGGCAAATTTTCGCCTCCAGCGAGCCGTGCGAAACGTGTAAAATGAACGACATTTCAGGGAAAAGTAAAAAAGCCTTGCGAGACAGACATGAAGTGTTCTAACATGGAAAACACATACGCGCGCAAGTGCACACTACACTAAAGTCATCTCCTCGACAAGAAGTGGTAATAATAACAACAGTCGTACAAGGGTAGACAAAGCCTCAGGACATCGGACAGGCTGCACCCCTTTTTTTTTTTTTTTTTTTTTTTTTTTTCCTTTTTCTTCCTCTCTTTCTTCGCCATAGACGCGGTAAAGTCGCAAGTAGACGATGTGACAGCATCAAGCGGGTTAAGATCCTCAAGCGCCACCTATCGCTAAATCCACCAGAAACCATCCTTGGAGTTGAAGACAGGATCTGGTAAAAGTTAAGAGAAAGCCGCCTCGAGACATGGTAGCCCCGACAGATAAGTGATTAAAAAGATAGTACAGGACGTAGAAAGGTATGACGGTCTCAACCACAGAAAGGATTGGACGAGCTGGGGTATCGTAAAAAACAGGGAATTGATTGACGAAACTGGTGATTGCAAGATAAGAGTATTCTCATTGTTCATTCTTTTATCACATCTGGCGCAAGAAAGGTCTTGAGGCAGCAGCCCCAAGAAAAGTTAAGCCGTGTTTGATGAAACTTTTGCTTGCGGGAGGAGTGGCTTTGTTTGTAGGGGTGCCCGGCCCGGCGTTAGGACTAGAGGTGATGCTGGCATTGTTTGGAATGTGTTCATCGCGGAGCGCTTTAAGACTTGGGCGAGAAGGCTTTCGATCCCGGGGGGCAAAGATATTGTTAGCCATGGCGCTGGGGAGAGAGGTGCGAGAAGAGGTAGGTGCTGGCTGCGAGAAGGAGATCGACCCGGAGGATTCAGCCTTGGAGGCACGAAGAGGAGAACTCGCAACGCCGGAACGATTTGATTTGGCGGCTTTCTTGGATTGTGCCGGAGTTTTGGGCTGGGTGGCCTTTCTCTTCGCCCCGCTGGCTTTAGAGGCCTCATCGGCTGCGGCGGGCTTGACTTTTGAATGAGAATTGTTTTCGGAGTGCGCGTCAAACCCCAAATCTTTGAACAAGTCTTTTCCGACATATTCACTATCCGAGTTATTGACATTCGCGGGCAAACTGTCAGGGATAAGATCGAAGTTACTTGGGTCGCTATCGCTGCCGGTGCTAATATCATCGACGACGCCCGGTGAAAATGCTTTCTTCTCAAGTGCGCGTTTCTTAGCTTCTTTTTCTGTCTTTTTAAATACATCCTTTGCGCTTCCTTTCTCGGCGTAGTTGATACTTTCTGCATCGTCAGCCACTGCTGGCGAGTCCTTGTCAAGGGTAAGATTCTTTCCATTTGTCCCGAGCCTTGAGGCCGGAGTCGTTGCGCGACCGGTAGCGCTCTCATTCACAGGGCTGGTGACTGCGACAGACATACCGCTTGTGGCGTTGGCCCCGGATTCCGAGTTTGCGGACTTTGATGGAGTCGGGGCCTCTTGCGCGCTTCTGGCAACTTGTGGGACTTGGTGGGCGGTATCATCATCCTCATCGCCAGCGTGTGCAGGGGCGGTCAAGATAGGACTAGATCCGCCTGGAACGTCACATGCGACTGCATTGTCGGTATCTTGTCTATCAACCTCAGTCATCATGTCATCAAGGTCCTTTTGGGCGTTTTCCACGCGGGTTCTTAGTCTCGGAGCTTGAATAACCAGGCCTCGCTGCTCAGCGGCATGTAGCTGCTTCGTCAAATCAAGCACAAGGGCACGCTGCTGGAGTTCCCTCGTCGGACGACCCTGTTTTCGTGCGTCCTCAAGCTCTTTCTCCAAAACTCTCTCTCTATCGTGATTATCGAACCACGCTTCCGTAACCCAGTCAGGAAATTTACTGGTGAAACCACGCCTCGCTGCAGGCGAAGAAACGCGAGTCGAAGGGCCATCAACTTTCCGCGTTTCTTGACCTTTGGATTCCGGTGCTTTCTTAGAGCTCTTCGACTTCGACTCTGTAGCTGATTCGCGTTTTTCACCAGCACCTAGGATCTCGATGTCTGGATTAGGAACGAAAAGACGGCTACCCCGGAGCAAACCCGCGATCTTGCGAGCATTTTGATTCTGCTGTGTAGCTGTTTGATCCTCTCCACCATTTGCCGATGTACTAGGGTCGTCAATCTTTGGCTCAGGGCCTGCTGCTGTCAGGTCTATGAAACATTTGGATTCACCAGTCTTGTCTTGCTTGGCTATGCCTTTTCGTTTGGAAGACCTTTTGGTGCCTGATTTCGCGTTTTTGGTCGACCTTGCATATTTGCTAGGCGAGGCATCGATCATTTGCACATCGGAATCGCTCCCTGCCTTCTCTGTGCCAGGGTGATTGGAATTTTGTTCTCCAGAGACAGCACCATTTGCCCTTTTATTGTTGGTCTGTCGACGCTTTGCGGGCCGTTCGATAGATCCAGGGTCAGAAATATTGATAACCACAGCTACATTGCTGGTAGGCTGCGTCGATGTATCGTTGGTAGTGGCAGTCTGTGACCGTGTATTGCGGCTTCTCGCACGAGTTCGCTTAGACAGACCGTCTGCGGTGCTGGCCCGGGTCAAGGGACTGTTTTCAGTGGGACGAGCCCGCGTGGATGCACTTTCGACTGTAGTATCCTGTAACGATGCCTCGTTGCCCGGCGTACGGGTTCGCGTAGATACATCTTCGGCAGGAGTGGTAGCTTGCGACGATGCGTCATTGCTTCCTGCGCGAATGAGAGTGGGCGCATCTTCAGCGGTAGCAGCAGCAGTAGCAGCAGTCTGCGATGATTCATTGTTCGATCTTGTGCGAGCCTGGCTGGGTCTACCTTCAACAGTGGTGGTGGTCTGTGGTGACGTACTGCTCCTGGTTGCGCGAATACGCGTGGATGTACCATCCACACTGTTTGCATGGGCCGAACGACCGTTGGCTGTGTTAGGTCGTGTCGAGGTACTATTGGCTCTAGCTGGCGGCGTAGGTATGAGGTTGACCGTGCTGCGTCGTTGCTGCGCCGTGGCCGTTCGTAGAAGCTCGCCGTCTCCATCTACAGAAGCGCCGTAACACACACGAAGGGGAGGCCGACCGGAAGGACGCGGGCTTCTGTCGGCACAAGACTCCAAAACATCAGTGGTTTGGTCGCTATTGACAAGCTCACGGTCTAAAGTAAAAAAAAAAGGGGGAGGGATTTTTTTTTCTCCCCCACCCCCCACTTGTCAGTAAATTGCAGCATTAAAGCCAGAATTGGAGAAGATCGGGGTGATTGACGACGGACTTGAAGAGAGGGATGATCTGATCGCAACGTCAAAATTGGGGGAGAGGGAGATTTGCTCGTTGGGCAAAGATTCATCATCTGTAAGCCTGCGCTGGGAGGAAGGGGACCGTTTCCGCTTGCGAGCTGCATGTCCGGAGGTGGGAGTGGCGGGGACTACGGCCACAGGTATGTAAGCTGGCATGGTCTGGTGGTGAACAGCGGAGGATGGGAGGTTTCGGGGTTCGACGCACCTGGGTTGGCCTGGAAGCCGCCGCCGCGGGCGGACGGGCGTGCGACGGCGTGGCCGTTGTCGCTTTCAATCGAGGTTCTCACATGGCCAGGTTGGCTCTGGAGGGCGGCGGATGGACGTTGGCTGAAGAGCGGGATGGGAGGGAGGGCTCGTCGTCTTGCGGACAGCGCACGACCATCGTTCTCTGCGGCGGGGGTCCAATCCTGGACGACGGATCGGTATCTGATGCGACGCGTGGTGGGGTGCTGCAGGACGCGGATGGTGGCCCACTGGTCCGAAGCGCTGGAGGCTGCATGGCCTTTGTTGACAAAGACATCGGCAACGGTCAGGTCCAGGTCCAGGTCGACCGTGGGGCGCTCGTCGTCGACAAGTTTCTTGATACGGAGAGGTCTGGGAGCCATGGTGGGGCGGTCAGAGAAGCATGTCGATTGAGAATGAGAGCACGGAGGGAGAAGACTGCGGGGATGGAACTTACGGGGCTGCTGGGTGAAGCTTCGTGAACATGCGGGAGATGCGGGCCGCCAGCTGGACCAACGTCTCCTGCTCGGGGTCTGGGACGAGGACCATCATGGAGCGGACATCGTGAGGGTCGACGGCGGACGTCTCCCTCCCCACCACGTCGGGCGGAGGGACCTTGACGACCGCCCGCAGGAGCACCATATAAATGCGGAGAAGCTCTCGAGCGCGGGGGAGAAAGCTTGTGTGGTGATATCAAAGATATCAAATTGGAGCAACGTCAGACGCGTCAGAGAGAAATAACGAAAAGCCAGCCGCTAAGTAGTAGTAGTAGTAGTAGTAGTAGAGAAAGGAACAAGCGAAGGGCAGAAGCAACACTTTGGGAGGTTGGTGACGCTGCAGTGGTTGTTGCTGGGGCGAATGAGAGAAAGTAAAAAAGACAGATCAAATCTAAAAATTAAAGATAAAAAAAATTAACTAAAAAGAAGAAGATGAAGATGAAGATGAAGAAGCAGAAGAACAATTTGACGATCTGTGAAGATAAACGCGAAAAAAAGGGAGAAGACGTGCCTGTGTAATCGACACGCCCAGAAAACCTCCCCCCACGCACCCTCGAGCCGGTGTGTGTTGCGTCCGAGGTGCGTGGCGACAAGCGGGATGAGGGTGGTTGGTTGGTCGAAGGTGGCTGAAACAGGGATTCATCGCCGGACGAACGAAAAGCTCGCACAACCTCGAAAGGCATCTTTTGAAATCAAACCTCAATCAACCCTACAATCTTTTCTTCTTCCATCTTCTTCCATCTTCATCTTCATCTTCATCTTCATCTTCATCTTCATCTGCCATCTGCCATCTGCCATCTCCATCGTCTGCTTCGTCCTGCTCTCTCTATCTCTGCTTGTCTCTCTGCTTGTCTCTCATTGGCTTCTGCCGTCGTTCTCTCGCCGTCTTCTTTTTTCTTTTTCTCTTTCTTTTTCTTTTTCTTCTTCTTTTCCTTTTTCTTCTTCTTGTTCTTCTTGTTCTTCTTCTTCCTCCGCTAGTTCCACAGTTAAATTCAAAACTGCTCCGTTCAAGCCCACCGAATCCATAAATCTACGCTTCTCCGCGTACAATCGCCACGTAGCCCGCTCTCCGCCGCATCCCAACCCCAGATACTCCACTCTCTCTCTCTCTATACATAATTATCTCTCTATACATATATCTCCATATCACTATCTCTCTCTATATATATCTCCATATTGCCATCTCTCTCTCTTCCCTATATATCTCACTATAACTTCCCACGACTGATGTCGTCGCCCTGCCCCCTGCGGTTCATCTAGAGACCGGCCATTCCCCGCCCGCATTGTTGGCCTCTCACCATGGTGTGGCGCCTACGCCGGGCCCGCACCTCTCTCCCGGCCGGCATCGCCATCTTCCTCCCTCTCCTCGCAGCTCAGCAGCAGCTGTCCCTGGCCGTCTCCGCCCCTTCACCGTCTCCCCCCTCCTCATCCTCCTCCCTTCGTCAAGATGCCCGCCTCCACCCGCACGTAGACATCCTCCCCGACACTCCCGCCTCTCCCTCCGACCTCGTGGGGTCGTCCTCCACCGATGCGAGCGCCCTCGCTACTTTGGCTCTGGCCGCCTCCAACCCGGCCGTTCGAGCACCGCCTGTGCAGATCAGCAGCCGGAACAACCTGGCTCTGCAGCTCCAAGCGCGATCTCTGCAGGATTGGGAAGTCGAGGACTTTGTCCTGCTGGCGACCGTCGATGGAACCATCCACGCGAGGGACAGGAAGACCGGTGGCCCCCGATGGGCCCTCGAGGTCCCCAGCAGCCCCATGGTAGAGACCATCTACCACGCCGCCGCCGCTGCCGCCTCCTCCTCCTCCCCCAACGGCACCTCCGGCCTCCGCCGCGATGACGACTTCATCTGGATCGTCGAGCCTACCCGCGACGGGAACCTCTTCGTCTACAACCCCGGCCCCAACGGCCGCGGCCTCCACCGCCTCGGCCTCACCGTCAAGATGCTCGTCGACGAGACCCCTTACTCCGGCTCCGATCCCCCCGTCACCTACACCGCCCGCAAGGAGACCACCCTCTACACCGTCGACGCCCGCACCGGCGCCATCCTCCGCGTCTTCAGCTCCCGCGGCTCCACCCCGCCCGACCAGACCTGCCGCCGCCTGAACGAGTTCGGCTCCATCGACGAGGGCGAGTGCGAGTCCACCGGCACCCTCACTCTCGGCCGCATCGAGTACACCGTCACCGTCCAGGACACCGACTCCGGACTGCCCATCTGCACCATCAAGTACGCCGAATGGGCCCCCAACACTCGCGACGCTGACCTCCAGAGCCAGTACTTCAGGACCATGGACGAACGCCACATCTACAGCATGCATGACGGCGTCATCTTCGGCTTCGACCACTCCAAGGTCGACGGCCGCCGCTACACTCAGAAGTTCTCCTCCCCCGTCGCCAGGGTCTTCGACGTCGCCCGCCCGCTGACCATGGAGACCCCCGACACCCCCCTCGTCCTCCTCGCACAACCACCCCCGGACGACGACTACAGCGCCACCGGCATCGAAGGCCGAGAGGCCCGCGTCTTCGTCAACTGCACCGAAACCGGCGGCTGGTACGCCATGTCCGAACTCAGCTACCCGCTCGTGACCGGTCGTGCCAAACGCGCAGAGGGTTACAACGCTCGATTCCACCCGAAGGATAAGGGTCTCACGAGCCTCAGTCTCTCCCAGCAGAGGGCCGCCCTCGTCGGAGTCCATTCTCTCGCCCGTGCCTCCAACCACTTCGATCGGACGGTGCCCAGCATCTCCGGTCCCCCGGCGGACCGCTCGAACGACACTCCTCGCGAGCTCGTGGAGGAGCAGCCCGAGAAGCTTCCCGCGCCGGCAACGCCACGCATCAACAGCGTCATCATCCAGAAGGGCTGGGACAACGCTGTGGATATCTTCGTCACCATAATCCTACTGCTCATCGGAGCCTTCGTCTACCTCAACAGTCGTAACATCCAGGAGCTCGCCAAGCAGAAACTCGACCTCAAGAACATCATCTCTCTGGATACACCAGCGCCACCAGCAACTCCTACGTCGATATTGAAACGGAGCCCCCGGCAGCAACCCATCGACGATCTACGTCCGGAGCCCTCTGAGCTGCCGGCGATCGAGATCGAGGCGGAAGATTCGGTGTCGGAAACCGTGCCCGTTGAACGCTCCGTCACTCCACGCCCCGCCACCCCATTCAACGAAGACCCCGGCGCCGCTGAGACCGTCGACGATAACCCTTCTCTCCTTCAGCCACAGGGCACTCCTCGTGTTAGAATAGTGGAAAATTCGAACGAAGACGACGTTGATGAGGTTGACGGGCCCGCCGCCAGATCTCCCGAGAAGAAAAGTAAAGCCAGGCGTGGTCGACGCGGCGGTCAAGCGCACAAGCGAAGGAAAAAGCCCGCACCCGCCAACGAGGAGGACCAGAACCCGGGAGACGAGGCAACCCCCCGCAGGAACCAGGTGCCATCGCAGTCATCGCTCCGCGCGGAGCTGTCGAGGACAAGGACACAGTCTACAGAAATGCTCGAGGCCGATGGATCGATCCGGATCGGCCAGCTCAAAGTTTACACCGACACCGTCCTCGGCCACGGGAGCCACGGAACGGTCGTGTACAAGGGTTCCTTTGACGGTCGCCATGTCGCCGTCAAGCGCATGCTTGTCGAGTTTTACGACGTTGCCGCCCACGAGGTCGGCCTGCTCCAGGAGAGTGATGACCACAACAACGTTATCCGGTACTTCTGTCGCGAGCAGACCGCCGGATTCCTGTACATCGCGCTGGAGCTCTGCCCCGCCTCCCTGCAAGAGATCGTGGAAAGGCCGTGGGACTATCCGACTCTCATCACTGGCGATTTAGCACTGCCGGATATCCTTCGCCAGATCACCGCTGGTGTCCGCTATCTCCACTCCCTTAAGATCGTTCATCGTGATCTAAAACCGCAGAACATCCTGGTCGCCGCCCCAAAAGCGCGCCGCGGATCTAGCGTCCTTCGGTTGCTCATTTCAGACTTTGGTCTTTGCAAGAAACTAGAAGATAACCAGAGCTCGTTCAGGGCTACAACCGCTCATGCCGCTGGAACGTCTGGCTGGCGCGCTCCGGAGCTCCTCGTTGACGACGAGAGTCCGGCAAATCCCGCTATGTGGTCGAACAACAGCATGGATTCGTCAGAACCCGCCGTCGTAGACCCACAGACAAACCGTAGAGCAACCCGAGCCATTGATATCTTTTCTCTCGGTTGCGTCTTCTACTATGTCTTGACCCGTGGCGGCCACCCCTTTGACAAGGATGGCAAGTTCATGCGAGAAGCAAATATTGTCAAAGGATATCATAATCTGGATGAGCTGAAACGTCTTGGGGACTATGCTTTCGAGGCGGAGGACCTGATTAGAAAGATGCTCTCTCTCGATCCGCGTAGTCGGTAAGTTCCACGATCATCATACTGCGTGTGATTCTCATACGTGTTCCTAGGCCCGATGCCACCACAGTCATGATACACCCCTTCTTCTGGTCTCCGGCAGAGCGACTCAGTTTCCTATGCGATGTGTCCGACCATTTCGAATTCGAGCCGCGAGACCCGCCATCCCCCGCACTAAAGTGTCTCGAGTCCGTCGGCGGCAATGTCATGTATCCAGATATGGACTTCCTCAAATCCCTTCCCAAGGACTTCAAAGACAGCCTTGGCAAGCAACGAAAATACACTGGCAGTAGGATGCTCGACCTTCTGCGTGCACTCCGTAATAAACGCAATCACTATAACGATATGCCAGAGAACCTTAAGGCACATATCGGTGGCTTGCCAGATGGCTACCTGCAGTTTTGGACCGTGCGATTCCCCAGCTTGCTGATCAACTGTCATTGGGTGATCACGAAACTGAATCTGATGGATACTGAGAGGTTCAAGAGGTATTTCACTCCTCCGGAGTAGAGTTTAAGTCATAGAAGCGCTTTTATATACACATATCTTCCAGACGTGCACCGTGCGGATTGATATGCCAGGAAATACATGTTACGTAGGTTAAAATTTTCCCTCTGGTATTTTCCATAGATGTCAATGCATTTTTATTTTTTATTTTCTTTTCCTTCTATTTTTTTGGAGGGGGGAAGGGGTCTTGTCATGACCAGTTACGTGTTTACTCTTAGGCCTCCAGCTACTGCTGCCAGGTTTCGGGGACCCGATCAAATTTATCATGGTTCCAAACGGCTTTAATATTTGGATTGTTCCTATACGTACATACATGCATACTCAGAACGCCCCACTGCTAGGAAGGTATATCAAGCTGAAATCGCGGCAAAATCATACAGTAGCTTTATGATAAACTCGAGCCGCTAGCTAACACTGATACTAACGATCTTCACATCCACCTCCGGCTTCTCCTTATGCGTTTTCACATTCTCAATCCGATGCACCACATCCAACCCCTTCACAGCCCGGCCAAATATCGTATGATGTCCATCCAACCAAGGCGTCTTCTCCGTCGTGATGAAAAACTGACTCCCGTTCGTATTCGGCCCCGCGTTCGCCATCGACAATGTATACGGCTTATCGTGCTTCAGCGAGGAAAACTCATCCTCAAACTCCCCTCCCCATATGGACTCTCCACCCGTCCCGTCACCGAGCGGGTCGCCGCCTTGGATCATGAACTTGCGAATCACCCGATGGAAGATGGTGTTGTTATAATACCCGTTGCGAGCATGCGTGACGAAGTTCTCTACCGCCTTTGGCGCGACGGACGGAAAGAGCCGGAGATGGATGTCGCCCATGGTGGTGTGGAGGATGGCAGAAGTGCCCATTTCAGCTTGTTTTTCAGCCGCGGCGGCCTGAGCGGCGTCCCGATCGTGCCGTGGCTTCTCGTTTTGTATGTCTCGTGTTGATTTTGAGATTTCGATTTCGTTGGTGAAGAGGTAAAAGCGGACCTTGGCGAATCCCGTACAGGCCAGGATTGGGTCACGTTCTTCGGCTTCTTGGAGGAGGGGATTGGCGCTGGCGGCCATGGAGACGCTGACAACGCCCTTTTTCTGCGGCTGGCCTTGATAGATGGCCAAGTTAAGGGCGCGGAACGGCTCATCCTTTCCAAACACTTTTACAACTCGGTTGGTGAAAGTGTTGATGCATTTGATCCCTAGTATGGAGCCGTACATCACGAAGTGCCCTGATTCATCGAATATCACGTTGATCTTTGGGGCAACCACGGGGTTTTGGAGGTCACGTTCGACAGCCATTCGACGACCGAACTCGACTTCTTCCAGCTTCTGTAAAGCTGTGCCCGCTTGCTGCATCTCTGTAAGAGTCGTGAGAGACTCGTCGTAGGATCTGTATAGCTTTCCCGTCGGAAAGTCGAATATTCGCACTTGGCGGTCAGGGAAAGAAAATGTCGCAAACTGATGGCCGGATGCGGAGAACGTGATGGACACAGGCGACGACTTGGCTTTTCTAAATGCGAATAGATCGGTCGAAGATTTGAGATCGAATAGCCCATCGGGTTTCTCAAAAGTGCCTTCTGGACGCCAATACTCTACCATGCCTTTGTTATCGGCCGATACGACGCAGTTATAGGTATTATTAAACGCCATGGCAACGACGGGAGCTCGATGGATGGACGACAAAATATGAAGGGGCGTAGGGTTCTCCCCTCGCCCGTCGAAAATGTGGATATCGTTGGCCGATTCACCGGACACAGCAAGGAGGGGCAATGACGCCCCTCTAGGGTGCACCCAGCAGACGCATCCGGGGACGAAATCAAGATTGAGGACAGACAGAAGATCTAACGTCAGTCAGAAGGACCGCTCGACAAGCAACGCATAAGGACCGCAGAGTCTTACATACCGAACGTAACAACATCAAATATCTTCACCGTCTTATCCGTGCCCGCCGTGGCAAAGCTTCGACCATCTGCGCTAGCATTGACGCTCTTAATTTCGCCCAAGTGAGCACGGAATTCTTTGACAAACTCCACGCTGACCGCCATCTTCTTCCAAAACTTGACCACTCCATCGATCGAGCTGGTTATCAGAAAGTCCGTCTGAGGTGTAACGACGACGAAAGAAAGCTGCTCCTTGTGCATCAACGACTTTGAGTACCGCGGTGATGCAGGCAGAGCATTAATGTAGAGCTTCTCGTACGGCAGCTTCCTTCGCTTCTTCTTTGGCTGCGCCGTGGGCAGGGCTGGGCCATAATCATCTTCTGAGGATGACACTTCGTCTAGATAGAGGCTCAGCACCAATGTCACAGAGAACCAGGGTCTTTCGTTCAGCCCACAAAGTACCTAGCAGTACGCACCATTTTCTTGCGACTCTTCCTCCAGCTGGGACCGAGATCGCTTGTTCGAAGGTCCATCTGGAGCGGCGTTTGTTTCGGCCATGATCGTGACGGCGCCAGAAAACAGCGTCGGATGCGCAGTACACCGGTGAGGAGATCTAGGGAAAGAGACAGATCTTCAAACCGACTTCGTCGCCAGCTCGAAACGTAACAACAACAAGCCGTGTGAAGAGAGCACCGTGTCGCTCGTTGGGTCGCTTTCGCTGAAGCTCATCTGTTTGGATTTCCGCGGCACAGCTCCTACATCACGTGATCACAGCCCAAATCGTGTTGGCGGGAATCTTCTGCAGCTTACCTTGAGAGAGCACCACACATCGCAAGGGGAGGGGCCCAGGAGAGAACAGCTTCATTCCCCGGCATTCACGGTATATTTTAAGCTTCTTGCAATAGATTTGTGATCCGTCTGACTGCCCAATATGGTATGACCCGACAAATCCCCAAATAATTTTCTTTTCCATATATGCTGACCTGGCAGTCGTTCAACAACCCCACTCAAATCTTCGCGGAAGATGTGACGGAGGAGAAGGGTGAAATTGCCCGTCTCTCTGCTTTTGTCGGTGCCATCGCGGTGGGAGATTTGGTTAAGAGCACCTTGGGACCCAAGGGAATGGACAAGATCCTTCAATCCGCGTAAGTGGGAGCTTTCAACTCGACCAGTTCAACAAGTCAGCTGTTAACGGTGTGAAACCAGCTCGACAGGGGAAATTATGGTCACAAACGATGGAGCTACGATATTAAAAGCTATTGCATTAGATAACGCTGCTGCGAAAGTGCTGGTGAACATCTCTAAAGTACAGGATGACGAAGTTGGTGACGGTACGACGTCCGTGACCGTGCTCGCTGCAGAACTACTACGTGAAGCGGAGAAGCTCGTCGAAAAGAAGATTCACCCTCAGGTTATCATCGATGGGTATAGAATAGCCAGCAAGGCTGCCCTTGGGGCTCTGGAGCAAGCTGCTGTCGATAACAGCTCCGACCCGGTCGGCTTCCGAAAAGATTTACACTCGATCGCTCGAACAACCCTCAGCTCCAAGGTCCTCGCTCAGGATCGAGACCACTTTGCTAGTTTGGCCTGTGATGCAGTCTTAAGACTAAAAGGCTCAACCGATTTGAGCCATATCCAGATCATTAAGAAGGCGGGTGGCAAGCTGTCGGATTCATATCTCGACGAAGGTTTCATCCTCGACAAGAAGATCGGCGTCAATCAGCCGAAGAGGCTCGAAAATGCAAAGATCTTGGTTGCTAACACAGCAATGGACACAGACAAAGTCAAGATCTTTGGAGCAAGAGTCAAGGTCGACTCTACGGGGAAGCTTGCTGAGTTGGAGAAAGCTGAGAAGGAAAAGATGAAAGCCAAGGTGGACAGGATCAAGGCCCATGGCATTAACTGTTTTGTGAACCGACAGCTCATTTATAACTGGCCCGAACAATTGTTTACGGATGCCGGGATTGTTTCCATCGAACACGCCGATTTCGATGGCATCGAGCGATTGGCCCTGGTGACTGGCGGAGAGATCGCCTCCACCTTTGACCACCCTGATCAGGTGAAGCTGGGCCACTGTGACCTCATCGAAGAAATCATCATTGGTGAAGATACTCTCATTAAGTTCTCGGGAGTTGCCGCCGGGCAAGCCTGCACAATCGTCTTGCGGGGCGCCACCGAACAACTCCTTGACGAGGCAGAGAGATCCCTCCACGATGCCCTTGCCGTCCTATCGCAAACCGTGAAAGAGCCAAAGGTGACACTCGGCGGTGGCTGTGCGGAAATGATCATGTCTAGGGCCGTCGAGCAAACCGCCCAAAACACCACTGGCAAGAAGCAGCTCGCAGTTGACGCGTTTGCCCAAGCGCTCAAGCAGCTCCCCACCATCCTCGCCGACAACGCCGGCCTGGATTCAAGCGACCTTGTTACCCGACTAAGGCAGGCTATCAACAAGGGGTTGATGAGCTCCGGTTTGGATCTTCTTACTCCCGGTGGCGGCATTGCAAACATGCGCGAACTTGGCGTCGTCGAAAGTTATAAGCTAAAGAGGGCGGTTGTGTCTTCAGCATCAGAAGCTGCAGAGGTAAGTCGTGGACTCTTATATATATTTCCTTGCCAGATCGCAAGACAGTACTAATACTCTTTTTCTTTTTCTTTTTTTTTTCTTAAGCTCCTCCTTCGTGTCGATAACATCATCCGAAGCGCCCCGCGCAAGAGAGAGCGCGTCTAGGTTTGATAGGGCGTAATGTTTTTTCTTCAAACGCCTACGTTTCAAAGCTGGCTTTCGTTGCTATGTCCTCAAGAGACCAGGTGGGCATCGTGCAAGCACAACAGATTAATGAAAAGGAAATAGGGAATGGTGTTGCCGGCATTGTTGCTACAAGCGCAAAACTAAAATCGCACATATTTGCTAGACATGACAATGAAATAGTTAATTGTACCCCAGGATACCCAACATCTCTACCAGCTCTTTGTCCCAAAAGGAGTTCTCCCAGACGTGACGTGGCGTCAGGGAATAAAAATCGTCCGTCCATTATATCATTCGCCAACGCTCCCTTAGCAGTTTGCTATTGGCTTCTCTGTGGCATGGTTCTTGTCTAAAATGCCTATGCCTATGGGAATATCGGCCGAAGGGCTCTTCAAGTTGTCTTTGATGCCTTCCCCAGAGGGTAACTGTGGAAAGTTTTGGGGAACTTGGTCTCTGGCTGCTGGACTTCGAGACCGGCGGAGCTGTTTATAAAATCCGGCATGCCAATCCTCACGGCTTCTAGTCAATTGGAGAATACTAACCAGGCTATTGGCATATCTGCTCTGCGTACGTTGGTCGAAGGCCTCGCGCGGTACTTCTTCCGCATCCCGAGATGTCTCCGAGAAAGGGCCTTAAACTCTCTGATGCTCCGAGTCAAAGACATGCATCCGAGAATTTGGAAAAGTTACTGGGCGTATTGTAGCCAAACACGGCCCGCCAGGGGGAACCTTGGATCTTGTGGCTTCTCATCTCGACAATGTCGACCCGAATGTAAGGAACTGGGCCGTCCAGTGTTTTTTACTGGCAAAGAGATCTTCCAGAGAGACATGTACGTTCTCTGATTTTTCGGTTAAAGGATGCGGATGCCAATGTTAGACTGTATGCCACAAAGGTGTTGGGGAGATACACGTCCTTGCTAATGACAACCCTGGACTTCCTCGTCTCTGAATTAAAAGATGCCGGTCAACATGCCAGGATGCGGATACTAGGGATTTTAAGCAAGCAAGCGGGCTTGCCGGAGAGTATTCAAATGTCTCTGGTCTCTGAATTAAAAGATGCCAATCTCGATACTGGAAAGCGGATAATAAGTATTCTTAGCAAACAAAAAGCGCTGTCGGAGGATATCTTAACGGCTCTGAAACCTAGATTAGAAAATGCTGATCCAGATGCTATCAAGTGGATAGATAATGTTATTGAGAAGCAATTGGCTCTGTCGGAGAGTACCGAAAGGTTTCTGGTCGCTATGTCAGAGCGTGCCGGACCAGGTGTCAGGAAGCGGATAGTAGAGATTTTTGAGAACCCGGCCAGCAGGAGCCTACCCTAAACGTTCTGGACTCCGAACTACAAAGTGAATATGGGTGTGGAACGAGGAAGCTTCCTGTGGCTCGGGTTAGGAGTCCAAGTACGTGTGTATCGAAAAACTCTCCCCTGAAGCCTACATTAGATGCTATGCTGAGTTGGTCTGCGTACGGGTACCCCAACGAATTGATAAGAAAGAAACTATGCGCAAGCAATTACTTGTCCTCGCGTTTCCCAACAATGGACACCGACACCATTCGAGGTTTATATAGAAGTTGGTTCGCAGAGAGTGTTGGGGGAGAGATATCACAGCAATGCAGCAGTTCCTTCGCGGTTAATTTAACGCTATATGAGGCAATGATGCGTACGGTAGGGGGTAGGACTTGCCTGCTACTTAAGAGACGGAAGCCTGTACCTCGAAGAAGAGTCGGGTGGTCGAACAGGGATCCGCCTTATAAGAAGGTCGAGGCATCTTGCTTGGACTTGGAGGAGAGAGACGCCAACCGTCCCTTCCAAACCGTTCACGCCGCCAAAATTCAAGTGAACCGAACGAAGCCGCTTATATATTAATATAAAGTAAACTGGTAAGTTGCCTTTCCTAAATCCTTACGTGCCTAGCTAAAACTCACTTTCTCAGAATAAGAAGTCATTCTTGTCCTTCTTCAATATGTGCTTCATGGAAAACCCGGCTCCAGTATACTTCACCAAGTGCAAGCATACCATCAATATGCCTGCAGAGCCAACTCCCCGGATGTGTACTGCAGCGCACCAGCGTTCACCTCCATCATGGTGTCCTGATCCTCCTAAACCTACCTCAAAAGCATCAAGCACAAACCGTCAACATCTCTGCCCCGATTGTCAAAAGAAGTGATGATCCTAAGAATAAGGACAATAGCGGGAACGGTGGTGCAGGTGCAGGTGCAGGCTCAGCGTCGAAGTCTGCTATTCAAGTTTCTGGCTAGGAATCATTCAGAGCAGAAGCTGATAACTTAAGGCCTTGTTTGTTTCTGGAAAAGAAGCTTGTTCATGCTTCGAGCCACTCATTTACACTTTATCCCTAAGCTTCACCACTACGCTGTCCTTTCATTACTACATTTGCTATCCAGACATTCTCCTCACTATCCTCCGATTATGGTGAAGACTTATTATTGAGGCAGTACGCTGTTTGTTTGCTATCCACAAATTCGTGATACATACCTCGGTACGCATACAGTTAGTTGCTTTCAGACACTGAGAAAAGATTGTGAGGCATGCCGCTTTTAGTATTCGTACTCCGTAGCAGAGTTCTAATTCGGCTATCACCCTTATACAAGCAAATTTAAGAATCTAATTGGCTAATTCCTCACTTAATGCTTTTACGAGACATCACGTGACGAGTGAAATAAGATTACCTACTGTACTGACTGACAGAAGTTCCACTGATCTTTCTGTTAAGTACTCTGTAGAAGATAAATTAATCCCTCCAAGCTGCCTTCTGCAACTGTGGCCCTTTACTGTCTTACTAGTTCCAGCTGTCTGTCTTCTGCTTTTGGGACGTTCCTCTGCTACGCTCGCCGGCAACAATCATGGTATTCTCCAATATCAGTAACTGGTTCTGGGATGTTGTTTGGCCTCCTGCGACTCAGGACGCAGCTGAGACAAAGGTGAGCTTGATCAAGTTGTTTTCGTCTCCTCTTACTAAGTTGAATGAAATTACAGCTTGATGATACTCAAGCTCAACTCCAAACAAACAAAAAGAGAGTTGGATCATCTCTCAATGCTCAAACTCCTCAAACGGACACACAGTATTACGACGCCCAACCTCGAGTGGATATAGAGCCCTTGAACAGCCCTGAAGAATCCCAGAGCACCCAAATTTCTCCATTGTCCCATGATCCTTATTGTGACCTCTCGGTTATTGGGATTGGCATGACTGGGCTTGTTCTTGAGATGGGGAAGGACCGTGTTGTTAAGATACCTAAGCGCTATGAATCTGAACATTATCGCGACCGCGAGGAGATGGAATATGTGAACGAAATAAATCAGCAAACCCTGCAGAATGAGATCCAAGTCTTTGAACGCCTAGGCAATTATAAAGGCATTATTCCTTGCTTTAAAACATCCCAGTATGGGATTGAGCTAGCCCGTGCACAGGGGGATCTTGAGTCCTATCTAGAAACTAGTCCGGAACCTGAGGACTCGTTAAAAGTCAACTGGATGTTGAGTCTTGTTGAGACCTTCTCCTATGTTCATTCTTGCAAAGTATTTGTGGATGATATTGCTCTCCGCAATATCTTAATATGGGATGGGCAGCTCCGACTTGCAGATTTCGGACAGTCTGTTTTATTACCACTTGATATCGACATTGCTTCCGCGAATGATAATGACTTGAATGTGCAGATTGAGATACTCCATCTTGGTTGGGTACTCTACTCCCTTGCGTCCTGGAAAGTCCATAAGTACTATTTTTTCAACCCTGAGAACCCTGATCTCTGTTGGCCTGAACCAGACTCATTCCCAAATGTTGATGATGTTCTCTGTGGAAGGATAATTGTGAAGTGTTGGCATGGTGAATATGCAAGTATGGATCATGTAAAAGATGAAGCCCATCAATTGCTCATTAGCCTCTAGGCCACAGAGTGTGATGCTGGTAATGTTTCCTGTCTGATATCTGGTTTTTATAAACAAGGCTGCAGGCAGCCCTACTAGAATAGTGTATAACAGTGTTAAGTGGGATTACATGTACAGATTTTATGCTTTTTTATATCTTCAGCGCTGCATTTGGAGCAATCTGCAACAAGAGAACTTCAAGCCTTCTTGGAAAATTTAGAAATTGTTTACAGGTTAACGAATATTTTGTATGGAGATTCAATTTTGGAAGAGATTTTCGTCCATTTTACAGAGGATTTGTTATATAAGGTGATCATTACATAGAGGCATTACTGTACCAACAATCTTGATTGTTTGAAAATATTAGCATTGGCGCTAAGAGTTGGAACTGTCGCCATGCCGCAGGGGCATGCCTAAATCAACCATATCTTAGGTGATCTGAGTATGATTTCGCAGAATTTAGGGTTTAGATGTAGAGCTTGGGTGATGCATGTTGTAGCACAGCTGCCTGATGTAGGCATTGTGAATGTGCCAGATGTTTCAGAGGTGATGGCCAAGGCATATAAAATCATGGATGTGAATCAATTCAAGATAGAACAAGGGACAGGGGAATTCATTGTTGCATCATTCTAGTTATATTGCCTTGGAGTTTTCTTTGTGATAAAGTGTTGTGTTGAACAATAAGGTAGTTCATCACTAAGCAAGCTACACCACTAAACAAGCCAAATCTTCCACTACTAAAATTCCTCCAACATTCAACATTTAATATGTGACAACATGGTCAACAATGTCTTAATTAGGCTTGCAATTAAAGATCTTGAATTACAAGAGATCTTAAATTATGCTGCAACTGTGAGAAAGTACTCAGTTAACTGAGAAACTTTATACTGATGATATAAAGATTTCTAACTTGCTCAGAATGAAGTAATCTTCTAATACTTATTTCCCAACTTGATTCTTTCTTTAGCTTTGGTGTGGTTGTCTGTTCTTGTTATGAATCTTGCGGCACGGCAGCCAGAGACACAGAATAATTGGACAAGACCTGACAAGATGAAGTTATGAACTGTTGTGAAGAAATCTTAAGATGGGAAGTTATGTGATCAGGAGGTAATATGAGCAAGATGAGATATAAGAAAGAGAGTATCATATATTGTGATACTGTAACATGAGCAATCTAGGAGGAAGTATCATAAGTATCACCAGAAGAGCATCATGTATATAAGAACACTCATTACTAGAGATCTGATGAACTTGTTTATTGTGATCAACTTTTCTTACTATCTTATAGATATCTTTGAATCTACAAGATAATATTAAATTTTCATGAAATCTAGGAAAATATCTTGAAGTTTTTGATGCACAACTGTTTGCTATAGATAAAGCATTTAAATTAGCAAGTTCTATCTCTCAGTCTCAATCAAGATCAATATCAGATATCTGGGTGTTTTCTGATAGCCAAGCTGCTATTCAGAGACTCATGAATCAAGATCTTAATTCTGGCTTATATTATCTTCAATCTATAAGTAAAACTGCTAAGTCTATTAAAAATCAGCAAATTAACCTACATCTTCATTAGGTTCCTGCACA